GCGTGAACCCTGGAACTGGGTGGGGGGGGGGCAGAATTCTCCGTGTGTGTGAACACATTAGCAGGGGCACACTCACATGGATGCAAATCCAGTTACCGCCACCAGCGGAGTGACTGTGGATTTACACCAGCGCTGCTAAGGGGGGAATCTGGCCTCCTCTGTGTGCAGTTACCGCTAGTGAGCCCCCCCCCCCCAAGGGCTCGGCAGAGCAGCCTCTCTACGGGGGGGCCCGGGGGGGCTGTTATACCCCAGGCATCTGTCACCAGCAGCCGTCAGATTTGGCCCAGGATTTGCGGTGGTTCCCACTCTAGGAACAGGGAGATCCCAGGGCCGGTGCTCGCTGGAGCCCGGAGATGCGGGGTTTGAATGGCACCGACTGGCAGGCAGCACATCCCCCAGAGACACGGGATCCCAGCAGCCCGCCTCTGCCACTGCCGCACCTCCTGCTCCGGCGGATGGGTCATGTCACCACTTCTTTTTCCAGCTCCAGGCAGGAGTCGGCTCATGTCTCCACAGGTGGGGGGGTTGTTTTGGTGTAAGTGCAGCCCCCGCACAGCTCCCGGACCCACCGTTCCCACCCCGAACCGGACCCCGCACAGCTCCCGGACCCACCATTCACATCCCGAACCAGACCCCGCACAGCCCCCGGAACCACCGTTCCCACCCCGAACCGGACCCCACACAGCCTCCGGACACACCGTTCACACCCCGAACCGGATCCCGCACAGCCCCCGGACCCCGCACAGCTCCCAGACCCACCGTTCATACCCCGAACTGGACCCTGCACAGCCCTCGGACCCCGAACAGCTCCCGGGCTCACCATTCACACCCCGAACCGGACTCCGCACAGCCCCCGGACCCACCATTCACACCCCGAACCGGATCCCGCACAGCCCCCGGACCCCGCACAGCTCCCAGACCCACCATTCACATCCCGAACCAGACCCCGCACAGCCCCCGGACCACCGTTCATACCCCGAACCGGATCCCGCACAGCCCCCGGACCCCGCACAGCTCCCAGACCCACCATTCACATCCCGAACCAGACCCCGCACAGCCCCCGGACCACCGTTCATACCCCGAACCGGATCCCGCACAGCCCCCGGACCCCGCACAGCTCCCAGACCCACCATTCACATCCCGAACCAGACCCCGCACAGCCCCCGGACCCAGCGCGCCGACCCC